CGACCATCACCTGTCCCAGAAGGATCTGAAGAGGGTACATCTCCTAGGGCATCAATACATGAAAATGGGAATCAAAATGCATCCTTTGAAGATGTGTGTATCTTTTGTTACAGCTGGGTGGAAAATCCACATATTTTTCTTATTCCTTACCGTTGTACTTTCATTAACTGTTATGGGATGGCATGATTGATATGCCTTTTCCGGCTCACTTATTCTTCAGGTTTCAAGATCTTTAGAGGAGCCTAAAGGGGAGTCTTCCGAGGTAAATTATCTCTTTTTCATTCTCTTTGTTAATGGCCCTCTGATATGTGTCATTACTGGCTGTCATGTTATTAGCTATCAAGTCTTCTTAGCTTTCCATCTCTAGTCTTTGTGAATTGCGTGGAGTCAATGTCTTCTGCATTTCAGGCCTCTTAGCATTTTTCCAACGTGCTTTTATTGTTCAGGTATGGTCACTGATTTCCAGGTTGACTGAGGAGAAAACATCTGCTTTACAAAAAAATCAAAAGCTACATCAAGAACTGGTATGGACATTGTGTTTCTAGATTTTGATATTGTGTCGCTAGATTTAGATTTTTAATGTTATTTAAGATTTACTTTTGATTTTTTTTTTTTTGGGGGGAAAGAATTTGAGTCCTTTATTAATTGTGTGGTAATTTTGACTTTGTCTAAAATCATTGGCAATGCATGGTAGATATTTTATATTCTATCAAGGCTTAGAATTGGTACTTATTATGGTCAAATAGTGTGGAGTTATGTGAACCTTTTTGAAGGCAATACACATGGGCCATATGGCATTGGCATATATTAATTGTCGAATATCGAGCTGCTAGAGTGGAGTTAGAAAGTGAACGGAAAACTGATAGACAGAGATAAAGGGTATAGCTGTTGTTCATTGGTTCATTTAGGGAAAATATAAAGTCATAGTGAAAGTTCAAAATCTACCATTATACATTTGCATCCGTCAATGGCCTTCACCTCCCATATTTCATTTACCTTACATTCCCCAGTCAAAAAGGATGCTCTTAACACTTTATGCTTCCCTTACTCTTTCTCCATGCCTACTGCATAAAATGCTAATTTTATTAGTTTTCTTGATGTTGTTCATGCTTTTAACCTTTTGCCATTCTTTTTACATGTCCATTGTGTAGGAAATGATGAGAAAAAAAATTAGCAAAAACCGTGCTGGAGGCTTTTCTATGTTGCTTGTGGTGCTAATAGGCATTCTTGGCATCTTGATTGGCTATTTCATCAAGAGAACATAGGAGAAAGAGGAACAGATTTTGGAACTGTCATTGAATGCCAAAATGCAAACCTTAGGCCCTTCATTATAATCAAAATTTTTTTTGAACCTTTAGGACTTTTTCTTTTCCTGCTTTCGCTTTCCAGTTTTGTAAAAATGTTAGTCGACGGTTGTTCCTTGCAATGATTGATGGTTCAAGTTTGAGCAAGATGCTGGATTGCTTGTGGTTAGTTAGCCCCTAAGTTTAGTAAACAATTAGATATTCTTGTGAAAATTCAATGCCCTAATAATTAAAATGTTAAAATTGTCTTTAAAATTATTCAAATATTTCTTATGAATTTTTTTAATGTATTGATTTATTAAAAATATTTAATAATTTCATTATCACTTGGACATTTTTATTTTACTCAATCCTTTTAATTATTGGCCATTTGTTAATAATCATGAATCTTTTGTGAATCATGTTTGGGAAATATTGAAATTGTAAAGATCAAGAAAAAGGGTTTTACAATCCAAACTGTTGCGTCGTAGAGGGCTTGGATATTGAGAACCCTTCCCTCACCAGAGAGCTTGGACTGTAAAACTGTAGAAAATAAAGATTATGGCAACAAAAATGGAGATTATTTTAACAGAAACAGTACAATACATCAGAAAAGCACTGCAGAGAACTCCAGAGGACATTGACGATTGATCAAAGTCTTGAAAACATGATGATGAGGATTCTACAGTCTTCAATATGAAGACTGCACTTCTTGTATCCATTCATCAACATCCCAGCCATCTCGATAATTACCAGGAGAAGATGATAACAAGATGTTCTTCATATGGTAAAACAATTGTTCTCTCCACTTCTCTAGTGATGGTAAACTCAACTGAGTAAGAGCCAATTTTCATAATCAATCTGCCATTGAACGATGATAAAGTCAGTAGGATACACAGATTAACATAGAGAAGGAAATGTCAAAGCCATTCAACGTAAAACTAATTGGCAATTGGTGGATATGCCTAGGAAAAAATACAAGATTACAAGAAACCCTAAACTTTGCCAATAAGTGGCAAGATAGATTGGCTAACCTTATCCTGCAGAAGCTGATGAGTGAGGCGCTTGGGCCATCCAACCTGATCTAAATGCTGGTAAAATCCTTGAGCTGAAGTTGTCATCTCTTCTTCAGTTGGCAGCTTCAATTTGCCAGACAATACTTTGGCCACCCATTTAGCTTGCAACTCCATTAGCAGAGCCGGCTGTGTCTGGTGGCATAAAGAAAGAAAAATATATGCTAAGAGAAAGATTGATGGCTTAAACAGATTAAGAATTCAGTGTGCAGTATGTATCATAGGTGAAGAAGAAAGGCAGATATCGTATTCTGGCTGAGAATGGAAGAATAAGACAGGACAACATTTCCAACAATGACCATTCACATCTGAATAAAATTTCACAGATGACTGATTATCAAGGCAAGGAGACAAAAATTCATAACTTGTATTTCAAATAAGTAGAATAGCAATGAGTTTCTATTAGGTGATGACATTCAAAATTTCAATAAGGCCAACTAGCGAGGAGAAAGCTTGTAATACCAAGTTAGGTAGTCCCACAAAAGAAAGCCAGGGTGCTAAGCTTGGTGGGAAAACATGTTCGTACAAAGGTCCAACACGGTTGTCATCCACAGTAACTTTCCCATTTGTATTAAGAAATGGGAAATGGTATTTGTACCTGTAGCAGAGTTATCAATCAGATTTATCAATAAGGTGGAAAGTTAAAAGGGGGAAAAGAGTTAATTAGCTTAAGCAATAATGCATGAGATTTGAGTCACTTTGGCAATACCCAGTACAATGAATAATGGCATCTGCATAAACAGCCGATCCATCCAGGAATTCCACTTTACCATCTTCATGAGCACATTTGATCTGTAGATGTACACCCTTTATTTATCAGTAAAACTCAAGCACACAATAAAGAAATCCACTAATAATTTAATTTCACTTTAACAGAACAGAGAACCATTGGATGCTTCCAAACATTGTCTTGATTTTCTAGCTTTTCAGATCTAAAATCAACCCCTCTAACAGCCTGGTGAACTTCTCTTGCAAAAGAAGAGATCTCTTGCAATATGTCAGTGGCACTGAATCCCTTTCCAATCAGCACCACTATCTGTCAGCCAGAATCAATTAGTAATAAAGCCCCAAATCCATACAAAAATTGCTATTAATAGTAAATTCAATTGGAAAACACAAACAATATATAGATTACTGTCATGCCATCCACAAAGCCAACCTGATTCTGAAAGGGTTCAGGAGTCCGGTAGTTATGACTGTGTATTTGCAGTCCTGGCCAAGTATCAATTCCTAAGACATGACCATTATTGCATTAGAATTAAACCATACGGAGATGGCTAAAAAGTACAGTAAAGTAAATAGTTTTTGGGGTCGATTTGGCAGCCATTGCAATGAAAGATCAAAGATTATTTGGATTAACACCAATATGTAACACCGTGAATCAAAATAATTATTGTAAATTACATTAGAAACTTTTATTTTTTTTCTCTGGCCTTAATTACATCAGAAACTTTGAAAGCACTGATATTACAATGAAAAGCAAATCATAATTAAAGCCCATAAACCCTAAATCAGACAGATCGAAAGAAGCCAAAAAAAAAAAAAAACAATATGATGCTTGATCTCAGGCTTTAAAAAGAGACGATCTTGGTAAAATTATTTAGATGCTTCGCCGTCATCCGTGGTGGGTTTACGGTAAGTTTGTTCAACTTTCTTGACCATGAAGATCCCCATCGTGGCGAGTTTCCGGATGTCGGGAACACTGTAATTCTGAGCGATGTAGATCCCAGCAATAGTACCCAACATGAAGGTAAAACTTCTCCTAATAAAACCCATATCTTAATTTTCCAATTCTCGAGCTTTTCAACAGTGAATCTATGGAAAATAGGGAGAGAAAGCAGAGGAATTTATAGGGTATCCGACTACGCTCACTTGTCGTGATGGCCAAGAAGGGTTGGCTGACCCCTTCCCCAAGGGTCAACCCCATTGATTCTTAAAATTAAATGCAATTAAATGCAATTTCCCTTTTTTTTTTTTTGGTTTTTAAATTAAGTTTATGGTGATAACATGAAATTACCTGGAAACACAGCGATTCTGGGCTCAGTGTGGTGACCGTTGCACACGACCACGGCGTCGAACAATTCCTTCTCCTCCTCCTCCGCCGCCGATTTGCCTTGCGACGGAATCTGTCGATTCTTCCACTCGACGACCCACTTTTGACCCGACACATCGACCGGTTCAACACTTGTCACTTCATGTCCGAATCGAATCACCTCTACCAATCCGAAATCCCGTGCGAAATCCTCTAGGTAACGGAGCACCTCCTCGTGGCGCGGGAATGACCTCCGGTCGCTATATTCTTTCCTCGAAAATGGATAGTCCGAGAAGCTCATAAGCTGTCTGGGCATATTGACCCGAAGGGAACGGTACAAGCTTGTGTGGACAATTTCCCTCGTCGGGTCTAGACCCAACAGGTCATGAGTCTCGACCCGTGATTCGTAAACCCATGTGCCACCGAGTCTGGTGTTCCTTTCAAATGCCGTAACTCGGTGGCCTTCTCGCCGGAGCTCCCTAGCCGCCACTAGGCCGGCTGTGCCTGCGCCAATAACTGCCACCTTACAAGATTGTGTCGCTGCCATTTTAGTTGCCTGTTCACCAAAAGAAGCCTGCATGTCAGAGCAATGTAACGTTATTGGAGGAAGACATAATTAAAATTTTTCTTATATAATATAAACTTTAATCCACCCAGAGTTGCTACTTACTCTTCACCCTAATTTTTTTTTTATAAAAATAATGATTAATAAATTAGATTAGTTGATTATTAGAAACTAAAAAATCGATTCCCAAACGAGAATGAATACCATTACCTCCTCATTGAGAAGTACGGTCCAACCAGTGTGCCGCATGGTGAATACCAGTCCTCACCGTATTGATAAACGTTCATTTGTTTGGTTTTTTTTTTTTTATTGGTGAGTTCCAATAATAAGAAGTTTTTTTTTTCATATATTTTTTAATTTTAATGTGAATGAATTGGTCCTGATCAAACAATAAATATATATTTAGTGTAACTATACTC